TAATAAAATATTAATAAAATTATATGACTTTAACAAAAAAAGTATAGATAGTAATAATCACTCACTAATTGCCATTTATAGTAAACCCTTTGATAGAGTTTTTTTTTCTTTTTTTTTTTTCTTTTTTGAACTAGTACAATATAAAAGATGGATGATGAGATTAATAAAACTAACCTTAAATTTTTAAAATTTACCACACTTTTTAAAAAAGTGATGACTATTGGGTCACAATAATAGTTGGCTTTAATAGAAGTTGTCTTTGACAAAATAGAAGGACAAAGGATCATCCAAATTCAACTTTCCAATCAACCCTAAACGTCCCATAGCATCATTCTTGTTAACATCATCAAGGGTAAGATTGAATGCCTTAATCCTATCAACATGCAGAGACGCTCCAAAAATGGTCAACATTGCAGTCTTATCTATTATTATTTCAACTACCATTAGATGGTTAAATTACAAAATAGAAAATACTTTCATAAACTTATGTTAGCTACATTTTGTATGAAAAAATAAAAAATAAAAAATGTACAGTCAAATAAAACCAAATTGCATAACTTAAATAATTTGATGGGGCGAGTGAACCGTTGATATTGTGGTATTTCCATGAAATGATTCCTGTTTGCAGTCCTAGTGATATAGCTACTAAGGGAAAGGAAAACACACCTTTATTTACCCTTATCAATGGAGCACATTTCTCAGTGCATTAACATTCTACACCCAGGAATATTTCTCAATGCAAAAACTCAAAGCAATCTGCACCTTACTAATTCAGCAGATGCAAAAAGGTATTTTCTCCTATAGACACCAGTTCCTCCCTAGCGTATACTTCTACATACCCAGAAAATTTAGTGATGTGAAATTCTAGTTAGTGGCAAATCAATACACAACTCGGAAATCCAGTAAAAGGCAATCACTGTGCTTCCTCTCTTCAGTCCTTAGCTCCATCTAGTGTTACAGCTTTGGCTTTTGGAAGTCACAGCTCCAGCAATCCACCTTCGGCAAGTGCCACACCACCACCTCCAACAAGAGAATCGGAAGCACAATGCTCGTTGCCCGCTCTCTTTTTAGAGGTAGGTTATTGACTCTACGAGGGAACTCAACTCATGCTGCAAAGGACACTAAATGAATTTCTGAGTTTGCTGCGGCAGTTGTCATTCTTCTTACAGCATCGAATGCTCTCTCTAGGAAGAAGGCACTGCTGAATGATTCAGAAGTGCTGCTGTGGCTCTGCGGATTGGAGTCATGTGATGCTGTCTCGACTACTGAGATTGACTTGGAATCGGTTGCAAACATAGGAGCTGATATCTTGGCTGGAGTAGGTGGTGTGTAAAAACAAAGAGGAAAAAGAAAACCCCGGAAAAATGAAATAATTATATTACATGGAATTACCAACAATCCTATAGCTTCGAAGTATATTACCACACGATAGGAATGACATCCATGAGTTACAAACACTGCAGCCTTATTGCATGCCAATATTTCAATATCTCATTCAATTTACACAGAGAGAAATGATCAACATATAAAGGGTTCGAATGACAGAAATTCACACAATTTCAGTATCTACTTTATTGAGCTAGAAAATGTATGGCAGAGGTCAAAGCAGAAGTGGCAAAATGGAGCTTTTAAGGAAAAACATCTCTCACCTTCCTTCCTCAATAATGTCACTGAATTCAGTGATGTTTAATGGAGAAGGCACCAGCTCTATCCCTGGATTAAGATCGTTCTTGTTCTTGTTCTTGTTATCACTGTGTTTAGATCCACTAGATGGTGTGTTTTCAGCCTCAATGCTGGCTGTTATGTCCTTAAAATCCCAGTCAGTTAAATAACTTGGTTTTGACGCATCAGGGCTCACTTCGATATCCCCAGCAAGCATAGCTATAACACTTGACATGGGTGGTCGCATCATTGGTGATGCTTGTGTGCACAAGAGTCCCACTCTTATCATTCTTAAAGCTTCATTTTCATCAAACTCCACTAGAGTTGGATCCACCAGACCAAGACATTGGTTGCTTTCATACAGAGTCCATGCCTAGAAACATTGTATAGGTAAATCTCATGCACAAGGAATGTGTCTATAAAGAAGGAAAAAAGAACAGAGTTTCTTTCTTTACCCATTCAAGAAGATAGATCTTGTCATTGTCCAGGTTGTTGTCAGAGTTTGGTCTTCCACTAACGATTTCCAAAGCAACAACACCAAAGCCAAAAACATCTGCCTTCTCAGTGAGGTGGCCACGCATTGCATACTCTGGTGCCAAATAGCCACTGCCAATATTGCAATTAAGCTATTAAATTTGCATGTGCAAGGTTTATTGAGATGGTTTCTCTATCTATGATACTAAGTCTCTGGATTCTGTTGATGGTTTGATGCTATGAAACCTAATAACATATATCAGCTACAATATAATGTGAATAAACATTTAGATACTCTTTTGATATAGTGGTTCAAGGAGCTTACATAGTTCCTTGAACCCGGGTGCTGATGTGAGTTTTCTTGTCATCATATAGCTTTGCTAATCCAAAGTCAGATATTTTCGGACACAGCTCCGCATCAAGCAAAATGTTACTTGCCTTCACGTCTCTGTGTATGATCCTCAGCCTTGATTCCTCATGAAGATAAGCTAGTCCTCTTGCAGTTGCCAGGCAGATACTGAACCTGGTTGGCCACTCAAGATGCAACTTTCTTTTTCCTGCAGATGTGAGGCAGAAATGCTATCGAGAGTGATTAATTTGGTGTAGGAGAGTGATTAATTTGGTGAAGAAATGATTTCACATGCAGATATGTTTCATTTTCCTGCATAAAGGCTAAAAGGGAGCAAATAACTTTTTCAGTCATACCAAAGAGTGCTTGGTCAAGGCTTTTGTTCTCAAGATACTCATAAACAAGGAGGCGTCTATTTCCTTCGATGCAGTATCCGTACAGTTGAACAAGGTTGCGATGTTGCACCACAGATATGAGAGCAATCTCAGTAACAAATTGGCTGTTCCCTTGGCGAGATGCTACTGAAAGCTGCTTCACAGCTACTACCCGCCCATCAGAAAGTTTACCCTATAATGTATTTAAAATGCTCTATTTAGTAACATTGTCATATAAATCTTCAATCTCATTAAAAACAGATTTAAGATTTTAAGCCAATAGCTTACCTTGTACACTGGACCAAATCCCCCTTCTCCTAACTTATTTGAGGGACTGAAGTCATCTGTTGCAGCTCTCAACTCAGCATGGCTGAAGGTATTTGGTCTGGGTCCTATTCCAAGAAGCCCTGCAAATTCAAGAGAAGTTGGAATAAAATCTCCTGAGGAAATAGGAGACAATTATACAATGTTCAAATTTTACAAACACTGGTCCTAGGATTCAGCATCTCAAGTTTAAAGGCCATGGGCCATTGTATAATTTTTTTTTTTTTTTTGTCCTTCTCATATATTGATCCGAACATTGATGAGTAAATAAGAATAGGTTAAATGTCAATTTTGATCCTCAACTTTATGATTTTGTGCAATTTTTATCCCTTAACTTTTTATGCACTTTTTCCCCCTCAATTATAAAAAAAAAAACACCATTTTTTTCTCTCCATTAATTAGTCTTCAGTCTGTTTAAAATAAGTTAAACATCAATTTTGATCCCTCAACTTTAAGATTTTGCCTAGTTTTCATCTTTCAACATTTTTATGCACTTTTTTAGTCCCCAACAAAGAAAAATGTACTTTTTTTTAATCTTTCTATCAATTAAACCATTAAATTTGTTTAAATACACACATTTTTAGTTCTTTAACTCATAATATATACACATGTTTTGTCCCTCAACTTAAAAGTTCAAAAACTAAAAATGTACATATTTAAATAAACTTAACTGATTAATTGATGAAAAACTAAAAAAATACATTTTTCATAATTGACAGACAAAAAAGTACATAAAAAAGATGAGGGACAAAAACTGTATAAATCCTTAAAGTTGAGGGGCCAAAATTAGCATTTAACCTTCAAATAAAATTTACTTCCTATATATAACTATAAAATTTGTTCCTTTGAGCGCTAGGAATACTGGTCCCATGTGAATGCATTGCCACAAGATAGAGCAACAACATTGTCAAAGAAGCTGAACAAAAAAAAAGAAAAATCAGTTTCTCTCTCCATCAAGGGAAATCAATCCTCTTGATTATTAGAATCTCTTCCTTTAAAAACCCGTTTGTCCATCCTTGTAATAAAGAAGAAAATAATCATGTCTTAAGATCAGTAAGAGCTTAACCTAGAACTTGGTTTGGGGAGCCTAGAACTTCACTCAGCAGCACTAGGCCATATCCACCATGGTATATTAATATGAATAAGTTTTACAAATAATATCATGACTTTTTTTTTTTTTTTTGGCACATCTAAGAGTTAGCTGCTTGGCATTACAAAGGTTTTAATCTGTTACCTTGATTCAAATCAAAGTTCTTAAATTAGTGAGTACCAATTTAACCAAGCTCTTGTTGGTCACAATATCATAACTAATTAACTACTACTATTGCACTTTTTAGGACTCTTACCTTCCTCATCATCATCATTTCTCCTTCTCGAGTAGAAGACTAAAAATATCAATATCAAGGTGAAGGTGACAACTCCGACAGGAACTGCAACCCCAACAATCAACCCAGTCCTATTCTCTTTTGCTGTGCGTGGGGGAATCCCACTTACAGCTGGTGTGAAATCTGATCAACAGGTTTTAGGCATTAGCAGTGGCAAACAGAGATAGACATGACTTAAGATTTTAAACAAAGATTCTTATGTCATCTCATCTCTTACTTGATACCACGTTGATTGCTGAAATGGATGGTCCATAGTGACCATCTTGTGGTACCAAGCATGTTCCCTTACCAGCCCAGAATAGGTGAATTTCAAGATAGTTCTTTGTCACGGTGGCAATGAAATTCTTATTAATTGCTCTGTCAGCCCCACCTGCCTCTTTTGATATGTCAAAATCCTTCAATACAATTGTTCCCTGGAACAGTTGATTATGATTAAAATCTAAAAATCTATAACTTAAGTTTGCAAATTTGTAATTTTAGAAGCATTTGTTACATTGAGGACTTGAATAAAATGATCCATAAAGGCAATCTGTACAATGTCTTACAATTCTTATGGAAAATTTACCTGAATATAAATATCAAAAACTCGCCTTCCCAGACTCTCTCGAGTTTGTGTGCTTCGATCTTTGAAATCTATCTCTGCAAAAAGCAAGCTAATTGTATAAGGCCCATTCTCTAGGCCTAAGCCATAGTATCTGAGTGATCCAGGGGATATCCTTGAAGTTTGATAAAGGATCGGTGAGTTTGTGTTGCTCACTTGTGCCGAGGCGTCTTGCATGTAGTTTGTATTTCCCCCAGAAAACAAACCCACATTGCTAACCGCCCATTTCTCAGTATCGATTACATTAGATGATGCTGTGCCAAGAGAAGAGGCTTCAGCCTCATATGTTATCCCATCCACAATCATCTCCAGGCCACCACAATTGATTGCGAAGTTTGCATCTGCCAACATCAATATTTAAATATGCCTGGCAAGTTACTCAAGAACAATAATTAAAATTCCAGCAACAGAAATTCATATTCACTAGGTTACTGAAGCGGTCATTTTATAACAGATTAAAAACAGCAAGTAAATTTTGACTACTTTCAAGTTCTAGCAGGGCGAAGTTAATGGCTTTTTATAATTGCCATTGATGCATGCATATTTCAACTGGCCAAGCTCAGAATTATTGATACCAGGAAAGTAGTCTAAGAACACTCTAAAATACAATCGTCTATGCCTTTTCCCCTCTGCTTGAAATTTCTTTCTGTGATTACAGTGTCATACCAAGTATAAGCTATCTCAAGGCAATGCAGGAAAAGAAGCTTACAGCGTGGAGAGTTCCTTTTGCAAGGGAAGCTTCTTTGAAGGCAATGCAATCTGGGTATAATACTGAAAATAAATAAAATAGTTATTTCTTGTTAGTATTATAAAATTATGAAAGACTGCTTTCCATTGTGGAAAAAATTGCAGCCATTTTTTTATGCCTTTAGATTGAGGTGGATAGAAGAGTAAAACTCAGACAGATACTTAAGAACTACAACTAACCTTATGTTTGAGCTGTTAAATGTGAAGTTGTTGGCTACTAGATTCCTACATGATAAAAGGCAACAACACAAATGAACCCCTGTCAGAGCAGCTGTAACAATCCAACATTCATGAATTTAAAGTGACTGATACTCTTTCTAGAAATGATATACATAGGTGTGTGGTACATTACTATTGTGGTTCTTGATAACCAAAAAGCCTTCCAGAGGACTTTTAGTTGAGCATTGGAATTTAGGTCATCAGCACAGGTTAGGTACCAAAATGAGAATAAAACTAGGTCACTGGCTCTGGCAAGTATTTAATGGAGATGGTTGGGGTAGATCTTGAACTTTTTTCTTTCATTTCTATTCCATTAATAATGTGACATAAATTAGAAGAAAAATAAGCTCAAGCTACATACAGTTGTGAGATTGTGTTCACCCATGAGGGAAAGCTTCCAGACAGAAAATTGTAAGATAAATCTCTGCATGAGAAAGCAGTAAGTGCAGTAGCAGAAAGTTTGCAGCAGTTATTGATTCAAATAAAGAGAATGCTCAAAATGGTATGGCTTACATATTCATTAGGTTTTCACTCTTTTGGCTAGGGATGGTACCAGACAGACTATTATTTCCAAGAAACCTGGACATTGGCAGAACATAATATAGTCAATTTTTTTTTCTTTTGATGATTATGCCATCAGGTTAATGGCATTAGGTTGACCAGAAAAACTAAGGACGAAATTGACATATGTCAAGATTTTGAAGCATCTTCAATGACTTTACAAGTGTGTAAGAGAACTTATGTTGAACAGAGCAATTGGAATTTGGCCTGTCAAGTTATTGAAACTCAAATCCCTGGTAAAGAAGAGGAATTAAATAAATATAGGAAATGGAAGCAAATTTCATAGACAACATATTCATCAGGTAAATTGTGAACATGTCTTACAGTTTTCGTAAAGCTTGGAGTTGTCCAATAGCAGATGGAATCCTACCAGTAATTAATGCATTTCTTAAAATTCTACAGGAAAATAAAGAACAAAGGAAAAGAGTAAAGTTTGTTAGCCAATTAACTAATAAAACAAACACAACAAAGACAAACGAAGATACAGGTTTCTGTACATGATTAAAGATTTTTTACTTACAACTCATCTAAACTCATTAAATTTATAATGAAATCGAGAGAAGAGCTCACATTGGATAAACCATTGATTCGCCTGCATGATTATTAATAAGAACTGAAAATTTAGCCATTATACATACTTTCAGAATCATGCATGCAGAGACAAAGTACATGGTAAGTGAATAATTACTTACAAAGAATATAGAGAGGTTAATTTAGAAAAACTGGATGGTATGGGACCTTCAATGAAATTCCCTTCCAATCTCCTACAGAAATATTTCACAGGCTAATCAAGAAAGAACAAACTAGATATATCCCACTATTGAAGAAAGAAGGCAAAACAAATTTAAAAAGAATGTCTTTAAAAATTGAATAAGAAGTATTTGTAACTTACAATTCTATAAGGTTTGTCCAGTTGCCAATGAAATCAGGTATCTTGCCTGTGAAAGGGCAGTCTGATGCAAACCTAAAATCCGAAAAGCTCTCTATTAATGACAGGGTAAGAGAAAATGATTTTGACATGCTCCAGAAACATAAGCAGACAAATAAACACAGCTTAAGATCCCTGGGACTTTCTTACATTATTTGCATGCTTACAAGGTTAGCAAATGTTGAGGGAATTTCACCACCAACTCCACAGCTGTTAATGTAACTGCACATTCATAAACCAAAACTGTTTAATCTCCAGTGATATGCTTCTTACTGCGCAAACTTATTGAGCTACAAAGAACTAGAAGAAAGTTATAACTCACAATCGTTCAAGTTTGACTAAATTACCAAGTTCTGGTGGGAGCGTTCCAGAGAAATTATTTGTGTGAATGGATCTGCATGAAAGAATTCAAATAAAATATTTTTATGGAGAAAGAGAAACCAGTAAAATGGACATGGGATTTTATTTTGAATTGAACCTATCACTGGGATTGCACTTCTCAATATTAAAATTAAGTGAAAAGATTAAAAATCTTTCAAGAGATTTTGCTTGTCTCTCAAGTCTCAAAAGAAGGAATGTCATGAGGGTTATGTGAAATTCAATCAACGTAAAATGTCCCAAGCTTTTCAGAAGAGCCTCACAGATTCTGTCTCAATCAGTGTCATGAGTCTTTTAGTGACTTGATTACCATATTGCGTCACTACTTCACATCAAACATAAAACAATGTGGGTAACTTAAGACCTCTTGGAAACCATTTATAGGAAGATTATATTAAAATCATAAAATGACCTAAATCACTCAGATTATCTACAATCCCTTGCATTTCTATCAAAGGTAGTTGAAACTGATACATAACTGAAGTTATTTATCTTGCCTTCTGGAATTCACCAATTCAATGTATATCAAAATTCAGAAGTATACTTATTATTGTGAAAGGTTGTTAAATCAACTAGTAAGCACTGCCATATTAATAATTAATTTTACAAATTACAGTTGTGGCTGTCTCCCCTTCCTGTTCCACCATCACCCCTCGTAAACAAATTCTCTCCACACTTTCAGATCCTCTCAACATAATATTTAATTGATTTTTTATTTTATAAAAAAGGCACTTTTATAATGACCAAGGACCAAACTTGTGCATAATATCACTTAGAGGCTACATGTGTGTGGTAGAGTAGAACCATTTGATGCGTTACAATGGCAGATTAAAAATAATTAAAAAAAATTGATGCATTGTGATGACAGAGTAGAATTTCTTCAAGTCTTACAACAGAGTTAGCTCCTTAAGATTTCCAAGCTCTTTAGGAATGGACCCAGAGAATGCATTGATAGCAACAGACCTTGACACAAAAAACATAATCCAAAAAATTACTAGTAGCTTCTCAAATAAGAATTAGCAAAAATAACACACCAAAGTTAATGAGTTTTACCTATGGAATAAACATGATCACCATAATCAGAAAATAAGTGAGATGTATTGATAGGAATCAGTGTAAATGATGGTTTTTAATGCTGGCATATAAAATTAGACACTGAAGTAAACGCAAAGTGCTTTGCTTCATGGAGTTGAAGATCTTTAGCACTTTAATGATTTAGCCACATAATCAACGGTCAATCCCTCATTTTTATGATAAAGTAAGATATAATTAGCAGAATGATACATGTATTCAAGACGGTAAAGACATTTAACCTCGGGAACCAAAAATCAAAAAACTATATATTGAAATTTTAAAAGTTTTTGATAAATGGTATTTATTAAAGTAAAATAAAATGCTTTCATAAGACCGACAGAATCCATGCTTACAAGAACTGCAATGCAGATAAATTCCCAATCCATGCCGGCAAGGTACCGGTGAAGTAATTTCCATCGATCTTTCTGCATCATCAAACAATGAACAATTCAGTACTTTTAAAAACTCTCCAGTAAAATGATAAAAAGTCGTTTTCTACGAGCAAAACAAAATAAGAAACCATACAGAAAGGTTAAGAATTTGAAAGCCAAAAGCTCCTCCGCCATCACCCCCCGTCTGTCCAGTTCAACCACTCTCCTGGGAAAATGAACAAACAGTTTAGAGTGCAACTCCGCAACGGATCAAAAGTTCGAAACAGAAGTGAATGTGGTCGCCGGAGCAGCAAGAGATGGAGAGAGTACAGTCCGGTGATGTGACAGATAGTAGCACTGTTGAAAGAGCAATCGCATCTGATGGCCGGATTGATGTTAGTATTGTCTTCGAAAAGGCTGTCCTTTCGGCTCAGAGCAGTTCCGCTGCATGGTTCGCCGCTGATATTCCAGGAATCTGGTGCCTGTGTGTCCCATTGTTGGAAGACTGAGTTCAATGCTCTCACTGCATCAAGATTCAAGAAACGTAAAAATGTTTTCAGAGGAAGCTGATCTAATTTTGTTACTTCTTGTAGGCAGGGCGAAGATTCGTATGCCGATCCCCAAACCCATCCCACTCACGCCATACGGTTAGAAAGTAGAAACTTTTATAAATTATCACTTAAAAATTAAGTAGTTTGGCAATAACTTTTTTTTTTCTTTAATTTCTAATTTTGGATTTTGCACATTCGAAATCAAAAGCAATCCTTTCTAATTTAACTCCTCTCACATGCACTTGATGGGAATTAAACAAACAAAAGTAATTATAACATCTGTAGACACTTAAGAAGAATTAAAGTGTGAAATTTCCATATGTTTAAGAAATTTCTTCGTTAATTTATTTATCTATATTAAAAAAAATTTTCTTTTTTGCTCGAATATTTAATTTACAGTTAAAATAGTCTAACTTACAACATCAAAAATTACATGACTCAATTTTTTAAAAA